CTTGTTGACATAATTTCTTTACTGAGAGTTATTTACATACAAAACCGAGGATTATAAGAAGGTATTAAAAGCTTTGTATGACTTATTCCTTTTTCTCTTTTACGAATCATAATATAATTTAGTAGAAACCTAAGTAAAATGATGTTTAATTGCATGTTAAAAATAGGTATAGTCTTAAGGTTAATAAAAATAACGAAAAAGTTCGTTCGTTTAAATCGGTCATTTGACTGAGGTTGTTAATTGTAATTTAAAGTGCTGGTTTACCTTTTCCTCACTAAAAAATCATAAGTTAAAAATAAAAGAAACTGGGAAATAGTAAGTGTCGTATTAAAATACAGGAGTAGCGCGAAAATCTTTTCCCGGTCCATTACCCACTGAAAAACAAGGCCTGAGCTCATCAGAAACCTCAGTAACATTGATATTTTCTAAGACAGACTAATTGACTCCTAATTTATTTAGCATAAAAATAAAATGTCCTTTACCTAAATGATCTAACACAAAGGGTAAAGATATTTTGAGGTTTGTTTTCTCTTAAGCTTAATGACTTTCTTTACATAATCGAATGCCTCCGAGGTTATTTTATTTTAAAACTTACCAATATATTTGTAAAATTAATAGTGATCATATTAATATTAATCATGTCTCAAATTACTGTTATAAATTATTGTGGGGAAAGATTTCTGAACTTATAAGGAAATAGATATGTTATATGTAATGTATACAAACTAAATTAAACTGAAGAAATATTTGCTTTATTTTCAGAAACAAGTACGTAGGTTGACTAATTAATCAATTCAGCAGACTACTCTTTATGTAATTCACTCTTACTTACTTGTTTACTATTGCGAGAAGTTCCATTAAAGTTCTGAATACGGCGTTCACAAAGATAAATTAATTTCACAAATTAATACTACCTTACAATTATTAACGTTATTATTCATGTCACAGATATTTCGTAAGATATTACTGAATAACTTTAGTAAAACTGTGAAGCTAAAAATACTATGTGGTAGAACTCCTTTTCTGCCGAGTAGTCTATCTGGATAGGTATCACTTTCTTACCTATTTCTCTCGCCAAATAGCAGCGTTTGCATTGCTCCGATCTGAAGGAAACAGACAGTATGTATGATTACAGAGTAGTAGGCATTACATCTTAGTCCTCAGATGGTTTTTGGTTGAAGTTTCCTGCAGGTATTAATGCACTGCAGTAGAAACTTACCATCAGATGCACTGTGGGTTCGTTTGTCTTCTCAGTTTAATAAATAAATAAATAAAGTAATTTAAACAATATTTATCTCTTAATCTAAATGTTCCGTTATTCTTTGAGATGTCTTTTCCGTTGAAGAAATTGTTACAAAATCATAAACTTCGTATTTTTCAATGCATAATGATTACGTGATTATAATAAAGAAAGTGAAAAACGGCGGGTGGATCAGAAGCAAAATGGATAGAAATAAGAAAAGAAAAAGGGTGATAGGGAGAGGTTTATTGTGAATAATAAATTATTCTTACTCGATTCATCATTAAATCATGTAGTAGCGGTGTGACAATATCCACTCCCCCTTATCCCCATATCATCTCGTGGATGTCTTAAGGGGCGACAGAGGGAAATAAATTTCAGCAGCGTCATCCTCATAAGCACTAAAAATAAAAGCTGTGGTTATCAACCCACTTGCAAAATGAAAAAACAAAGCGTGGCAACTATGGCAAATATCCCCCTAATTCTCCTCCCCATTATATGGGGGAGTTCTATGGTCAGCATTGGATTTTAATAGGCTGTAACGGTAACGGTAACGGATTCATCATTATCGTTTAGGGGGGATTGCGCCTTAATGGGGCAAATGCCAGGCGGACGTCCATTTTGGTCCGGTGACGTCCGGTTAACGTCGCAGTACCAGAGACTTCGCAGCTTTGAACCTGCGTCTCGGTCAGAAAGAGCAAGGCCGGCTTCGCCGTCTCGAGATGGTAGTTGACGGCGTTTAGGTTCGAGTGAAGTCCCCTGATGTTGCAGAAATTCACGGATGGCGTGGCAGGGGTCGCCTTCTGGGCAACCTTATTGTGGCAAGCAGTTATTGTGTTGAGCGGAATTTTGCCCCCCCCCCCCCCCCCCCGAATATACGGTGCAGCCTGAGCACCCACGCTCAGAAGTGGAATAGCATGGTCGTGGATACTCAGCGAGGGATTCTCCAGGGGTGCTGGTACCCTTCTGGGGTAGTCTATCATGTAATTCCGCTACCATGTTGATGGGGGATTGGGTCTCCGGTCACCTGCACTCACCAGACGAAACTCGGAAGCAGAGCTTCCACTTCACGCCGGTATTCTGTGAGGTCGTGGTACTAACCCGGCTCGAGCCGGCCCATACGTGCAACAGCAAAAGCTGCTGCGTGGCTCTACCATCGTTGTTTCTTGTGTACATTAATGATGTACCTTACATAGTAGGGTATAACCATGATATAGTATTATTTGCAGATGACACTTCTTTAATTTTCAAATTAAGTCGACAATTACTAAAATATGACGAAGTAAATAATGCTATATCTAAATTAGTAAATTGGTTCAATGTTAATAATTTGCATTTAAATGGCACTAAAACGAAATGTATGAAATTCATGACTCCAAATGTCAAACAATTAAATACTAATGTAATTTTAAATGGGAAGAAACTGAGTTTTGTAGATACCACCATTTTTCTTGGAATCACAATAGACGCGAAACTTCAATGGAGCCCCCATATATCATAACTAGCAAGCAGACTTAGTTCTGCAGTATATGCTGTAAAAAAGATTAGAAGTCTTACCAGTGTTGAAACAGCTAGACTAGTTTTCTTTAGCTATTTCCATAGCATAATATCGTACGGTATTTTACTATGGGGACACGCAGCTGACACTGAAATTATATTTGTCTTACAGAAGAGGGCCATAAGAGCAATTTATGATTTAAAGCCTAAAGAGTCAACAAAAATTTAAGGAAATTATTATATTAACTTTAGCCTCTCAATACATTTATGAAAATGTAATGTACCTACACAAAAATAAAAGTTGTTTTCCAAAAATAAGTAATATTCATTCTGTAAATACTAGGAACAGACACGAGCTAGTAGTACCACAAATCATCCGTTTAGTTTAGTTTAGTTTAGTTTACGACGGGCTGTTTTCCGCAACTCCACGTCTATGCGCGTATTTTGCGTGTGGGCAGGAATAATGTGATTATTCGAGCCATGAGATCTCTCCGAAGAAGCTCAACAGGCCCTTGATGTTGCATGCAACTTCGGGGAGTGATCCCGGCGTGCCGAGATGTTTAGCCGTGTATGTAGCGACCTCCGGACATTTCAGTAGCACGTGGGCCGCCGTTTCTTCCTCCCCCATACATGCCCTGCACAGGGGACTATCTGTAACACCTATAGTAAATAAATGTTTGTTAAAGGTGCCGTGTCCTGTGATAGCACTTGTTACTATCCTAATCTGCGGCTTGTTCAGTCTCATTAAAACTTTTGTTAAGCGACTGTTAATTTCAGGCAGGGCATCCCTAGCTTGTCTACAGTCTACTAGATTTTTCCAAAGCTGAGCGTGTTGATTAGTGAAGTGTCTACGTACCAGTGAACAAACGTTACCAAAGGGGATTGGTATGATTGGTTCCGGCCCTATAGTGGCCAAAGCCGATCCTCTTCTAGCCAGTTCGTCTGCTGCATCGTTGCCTCTGGATCCACTGTGTCCCTTTATCCATTGCAGGGTCACATTGTTGTTTTTACATACCTCATTTAATCGTTGATGGCATTCATATATTAGTCCCGAGTTCACCACATTGCATCTCAGGGCTTGGAGTACCGCCCTACTGTCGGTCAGTATTCTGATGGGGAAGTCATTAACCTTCCTAGCATCTATTGCTATGGCCGCTTGAATGATACCCATACATTCCGCCTGAAAGGCTGTGTTATAGGTACCCAGCGGTGTGCATATGTGAATATTGAGGTCTTCAGAGAAAGCTCCAGAACCTACACCTTCATTTGTTTTAGAACCATCGGTGAAAATTCTAAGCTCTTTTGGGCTTAATCCTTCCGGCTGGCTGTTTTCATTTAACTGTATCTTGTATTTCTTATCGTAAACAAATTGTTTAGGAATCCTATCGTATTTGGCTTGTAGGATAGGAATTTTTGAGTGAATTCTATCAATTATGCCTGTATGAGGGACACTATTCTTATTCCAAAGATTTAGGGTCTTGAGTCTGATGGCAGCTAAAGTCGCTTCTTGTTGTATATGTAGATGAAGCGGAGTTAGCTCCAGCATCGCTTCTAAGGCTGCTGTTGGCGTAGTTCTCATGCAGCCTGTGGCAGCCATACATGCCAGTCTCTGGTAGCGCTGAAGCTTTTTAATTATGGTGGCTTCATTTGTCTTGGTCCACCATACCAGAGCGCCGTATGTGATCATGGGCCGAATTACAGTTTTGTAAAGCCACAGTATGATTTTTGGCGTCAATCCCCATCTTTTGCCAATCATGTTTCTGCATTGCCAGAAAGTTATGCTAGCTTTGTTGATTTTGTTTTCTATGTGTTTATTCCAGTTAAGTTTGCTGTCCAAGGTAAGACCTAAATATTTTACCTCAGAGGATAGCTGGAGTTTTGTGCTAAAAAGACTTGGAGGATGATAGTTATTCAGCTTTCGTTTTTGTGTGAACATAACTAAAACCGTTTTATTTGGATTGACGGTTAAGTCGTGTTTCCTGCACCATCTCTCCACTATACGGAGAGCCGCTTGGGTCAGGTCGCACACTATGCTTGCTGTCTTTCCAGAGACCAGTATTGTCAGATCATCAGCATAACCTACTGTATAGAAGTGATTGTCATTTAATTTGCTGATGAGTTCATTAATGACCATATTCCACAGGAGAGGTGAGAGAACCCCACCCTGCGGGCAGCCTTTCTTAATTTGGATTGGTTGAGATTCACCAGCAATCTTTATTATTCGTGTACTGAGCATATAAACTATCCAGTCGATCTGTGCCGGTTAAACTTTGTGTCTACCGAGTGCACCTTTTATGCTGGAGAAGTTCGTTCGGTCAAAAGCACCTTCTATATCTATGAAGGAACCTAGACATATTTCTTTGTTTTGGATGGCCTCTTCAATCTTTGTAATTACCTTATGAAGGGCCGATTCTGTTGATTTGCCTAGACTGTAGGCGTGTTGCTTGTCGTGTAGTGGTAAGTTCATTAGCGCCGACCCCCTTAATTCCCTTTCACACATCCTCTCCATCGTCTTTAGGAGAAAGGATGTGAGGCTAATGGGCCTGTAGGATTTAGGGTCAGTGTAGTCGCTCTTACCTGGTTTGGGTATGAATGTAACTTTCACTTCCCTCCATCCCCTAGGAACATATTTAAGAGCAAGACAGGCTCGCATTATGGCAGCAAGTCTGACTATTAGGGCTTTACCCCCCCACTGTAGGAGTGCCGGGAATATGCCGTCGGGTCCTGCCGCCTTATAGGGGAGGAAACTGTGAATGGCCCAATGGATTTTGTCCATCGTTACCACTCTCTGTGCTAAATTCCAGTCTTCTGCTGTTGATGTCAGTATTTCGTCATGCCGGTTTGCCTCCTGGGTTACGCAGCAACCTGGGAAGTGCGTTTCAATTAGGATGCGTTGGGCTTCATCCGGCGATGTTGAGTAGCTACCGTCGGGTTTCTTTAGAGACATGGATCCCGACGTGTTCTGTTTAGCTAGAATATTCCTAATCCTATTTGCTGGTTTGCAGGTTTCTATGTTGCCACAGAATTTACGCCACCCAATCGAGCGTCGATACCTGATACATTTTTTGTATTCAGACTTAGCTTTCTTATATAATAGCCAGTCTTCATCCATTGAGGTATTCATGGCCCTATTTAGAGCTTTTCTTACCTTCTTACGTTTTCTATCGAGTTCTTTACCCCACCACGGTTGTTTTACCTCGGCATGTCTTGGTGGAGTGATTTCTGGACATGATTCATGGTAGCTGTCTATCATGGCCTTAGTAACAGCTGCTACCTGTTCTTCTAGGAGCGACTGATCTGCTATAGTATTTATCCCCTCAAAATCCGCTAGCAAAGACGTCAGCCTATTTAGGTATTTTGTTTTATCTGTCTTGCAGGGATTTCTCCATGGTGGTGTAGAGGGGATATCGACCTGTAGTGCGAAGCAGATCCATCTATGGTCTGAGCATGAGGCCTCTCTCGACACATGCCATCCCGTAATTAGTTTGGCTGCTCCTTCTGTTGCAAGTGTGAGGTCGATTATAGTGCGACAGCGTTTGTTTATGAAAGTAGGTTCAGAACCTATGTTTAAAATGGTTAGGTTAGTACTAAATAAATATTCAACTAAAACTTTACCTCGTTCATTTGGTTTTTCCATTCCCCAAAGGGGATGATGTGCGTTGGAGTCCGTCCCGATCACAACCTCTAGTCTGGTCCTCTCGCAGAAGTTCACCAGCCTGCTGAGGTCATGAGGGGGAGGAGTGTCTTCCTCCGGCATGTAGACCGAGGCGACGACTAATCTACTCTCCTGTGTGTACTGTATTGCTACGGCATACATGTCTCTAGAACAGAAATCTGTTAAAGGTTGTGCACGGATATCTTTAGTAGTGTAAATACACGCTCTAGGCTTGTCGTGTTCAGAGCTGTAGAATAACTTACCTTTTAGGTTGTTTAGGCCTTTAATTTTACCAGCCCCAACCCATGGCTCCTGGATTAAGGCTATGGCAGTCCTTTGAACCTCCAACCACTTGCGTAATTGAGCCGACGCAGTTTCGCTGTGCTGGAGGTTGGCCTGCACTAGGCTAGTTTTGGACGAAGGGCACGCCATCATTGATCGCGTCCTCCCCGTCCCCGCCCAAAAATAGGCCTGCCAGAAGATCTCGGGTTTCATCGTCAGCCACCGAGTCGGAGGTGGTCGGCAAAATGCAGTCCTCCTCGTCACTCAGTGAGCTGCCGCTGAGCCCAATCTCCACTGGGGGCTTCGGCTCAATTGTGCAGGCCGTTTCTTCACTGGACTTGGCCTCCAGTGATTCCGCTGTACCGGTAACTATGGCTCCGGTATCCATAACTTCCGGGTTGTTTTCTACCTCTTTGCTCGGTGGAGTATCAAAGAATTTGCCTCCACGACCCTGGAATTTTACGTATACCGCCCCGCATACACATGCGAGACGGCGTCCGGCCTTCATCAGGGTCGGGATATGATCCTCCGGCACCGAAACAACGAGGAACCACCCGTCCGTCTGCTTATCTGCCTTGAGTAACAGCCAGTCCCTGATGTTAACCCAGCGGTTCTGGTACGCCAACACGCGACCAATGTCGCGTGAGTCTTTCCAGGCCCCCTGGGCATCAGGGATAAGGATACCACATTTGACTCTTTGTGGTATCTCTGACTGTTTCTTTATTGTCAGCAAGGTGCTGGATTTAAGGTCGAGGGTAGCAATGTTCCCCTTCAACCAGTCCAGAGCCTTCTGATCGTCGCACCACAGTTTCAGGACACCTTCCGTATAAACGGGTTTGCCCCTAAAAACTGGGCCCGACGCATCAGGGTCCTGGCTACTCCAGGCCTCGCTGATCATCTTCCTCTGTATTGCTACGAGGATGTCGTCTGCTACTTCCTTCGTAATGTGACCTGAACGCGCACACGTTAAGGCCACACCCAAATCTGCTTTAGCAGCGGAAGCGTAGCTCGTTCTTGCAGTCTTTGGTTGCTGTTCGAGTCGCACTTTTTTGTGTTCACCTCTAGGCGAGGTGGACTCTTCCAGCATCCTTTTGGCTGCTCTTTCCTTCTTCCCAGGACGCTTGGCCGCTCGCTGCTTCCTGGCGGATATCCTAGAGCTGGTTCCCGCGTCCGCGACTTCCACTTGGGCTGGATTTTTATCCTTCCCAGCTTCAGCGCGGCTACTGGTTCCAGCGCCAAGCACCCCAGTCGCAGTAGCTTGCCCAGCCTCCTTGGTTTTGGTATCTGAAGCAGCCAATGCGGCTCGTTCTCTACGGCCTTTTTCCCGCTGCTTCTTGTTCTTCTTTTTGGCCTTTCCACTACTGCCTGCAGGGATAGACCCTCCTGATGGTCCGTCAGGTCGGCAAGTCACCTTTTTGGGTGCCTTGCCTTTCCCCTTACGGCTCACCACTTGCCAGGCAGCAGAGAAAAGGTCGTCAGTCCGTAGTGGCTCCGCAGTTTTATCACTTGCGGGCTCTTGTTTCTTTTTCTCTTCCAGCTCCTTGGAACTGGTTTTGGAAACGTTCAGCGAGGTTATCCCTTTGGTGGGGGCACCTACGCTGGACGGTACTGTCCGTGGAACCGTCGGTTTAGTGACGGTTCCCTTTTGTTCTTTGGTGTCTCTGGTAAGCACCTCTGACACCTCTCCCTCTTTCTTATTGGGCCTTAAATTGTCCATAATTTGTGTTTTTTAAAATTCATCCCCCCGGCTTCCCACCCTCCATGGAGCCCGCACCTTTGGGAACGCCCTACTTTAGAAGCAAAAGGAATTTCAGGCGTTAGGATTACCGGGAGAATATAGGGACGCGAAGTTGGCTCACAGCGCGACATCGGGAGCTCGATCCAGCTGGTAGATGGGGCTGACAAGGCCCATCCCCACCACCCGAATAAACTGTCACTTGCTCCGTCAGCATGGCCTTTACCACCACCCAGCCCCCTTTTCAGGAAGACTAGGCAGCCCCCACATCCCTCGCCTGCGACCCTCTGACGGGGCGCTTGGCCATTTCCCTATCTGTGGCTAGCAGATAGGGCCACCGTTTAGCTTGAAATCCGGACCAAAGAGGGCGTGTTGCCTCTCGCCACTATATACCCCAGCGACGATCGGCTCAACCCTCCAGGACTCCTTCATCCCCGCGTACGGCGCTCGACTGCGCAGGTCCTAGCGCAGGCGGGTGTGTTAGTCCACCGGATACACCCACTCTCTCCGGCGGATTCGTCCCCTTCTCCTTTCTCATCCGGGCTTGGGACCGGCAACGGCGGAGTTCATCCGTTAACAACGTTGTAAAGATTGAGAGTGTGTCGACGAGAGTTGCGTACCTTATTCTCAGAATCACCAAATGGTATTCGCTGAAGGTTATACAGATTTACGCACCAAATTTGGCACATCCAGATGTGGAGCTGGAAAAAAATGTTTGAGAATATACATCCCTCCAAAACCCACTATACGGTGTTAAGGGGAGACTTAAACGCACAACTAGGAACAAGAGAATACGGTGAGCTGAAGGTAGGGAAATTTGAAATAGAGCAACGGAACCCAAGGCTCCAACAGCTGGCCTTCTTCGTGGAGAAAGACGGACTTTTTATGATGAACTCTTTCTTCCAAAAGGGGCCCGACAGGAAGTGGACCTTGTCGAGCCGCGACAGTTCGACAAGGTCCACATCCTTACCTCGATCCGGTCCACACCACCTTGAGACCGAGAAGTCGCACCCATTTTTCTTAACGGAGACCTAGATAGCAACTTCGTCTGATGTACGTACGTTACGTAAACTACCCAGGTTATACGCCTGAACTTGAGTTTAAACAACACACTGGAGTCTGTGTGTACGTCCGCGACGACTGTTCCTGTCGGCGTCTACGTTGCCTTCAGGTTTCAGGGTTTTCTGCAATGTAGCTTTTGGTAAATACCAGTGTTGAAGCAAACCCTCTATGCCTGTGTCTATCGATCGCACAGTGGAGACCAGGAGACCACCAGGCTCGTTAAACACCTGAGAAGGATGGCAGATAAAGCCGAACAACGGTATTCGTCTGTGGATCTAGTTTTTCTCTGGGATTTTAAAGGTGGGCGTTAAAATGTAAATCACAAATAGTGGTTGTCCCCATACGAGAAAACCAAACATGCTGGGAGAGAGGTGCACAAACTTGCGTTATCGTTAGATCTCACTCACCTAGTTCAAGTAGCGACTCGGGTTCCAGATGTAGCCGGACATACCCCCAATTGCTTGGACCTTCTGCTGACAACAGACCCAGACAGGCACTCGACATCGTTCAGCTCCGCTGGGATCATTCGATTACTGACTGGTGAAATCCGTATCGATAATTTCGCCTCCGGGTTACTACCCAGCGGGCACGAGGAGTGTATGGCGATACGAGTCAGCAGACTGGATTGAGATGCGGTACTTTTTTGTATCCTTTCTGTGGCCACAAGTGTGCTTCTTTTTGTATGAACCCTCCTGCTCTACCGATGCGGTGGCGGATGTGATGACAGGGAATGGAATATTTTATACCGTTCCCCGATATCCCGCTCGGTCACAAAGCTTGGCCTCGTATCGGAATGTGCTCGTGCTAAGCCCCGCAAAGAGCTCGCCTACTGGGCCTGAGTTCTAGCTCCCGATCGCAAAGTTAGGGCTCGGATAGTTCATGCAAAGAAGAGAGCTTTTAAATCTACTGCCAGATCCCGCAAGCGGGTTCTTCACAGGGCACGATTCGACCATGTCATTCGTATAGGGGACTTGCTTCCTACCTTGTTGGTAGTAAGCAATTTCGGACCCTGTCAGATTCTGTCGAATCCAACTTCTGCCATCCCTCATAGCCTACCATGCAGAAACCTGATGGAACACTAACTTATTCCGCGATTCAGAAAGCAAGTTTGTTTGCATCTCTGTTTGCGAGCGATTCTCGTCTAGATGCTGGCTCTAAACAACTGCCAACCCTACCTCACTGTGATTCTTCGTACTTCTTTACAGAGTACGTTCACCTTCATACTCTGTAAGCTTATGGAAATGGTATTGGACAGCTGTTTCACTCGATATCTCGAAGGCTTTTGACAGGGTTTAGCACGCAAGACTGCTGAGTAAGCTTCCTGTTTACGTCATCCCCGCCAATTTATGCAACTCGATATCTGACTTTCTGAGTAAACAATCGATCAGGGTAGTCATAGATCACTGCTTTTCTACTCTGATGCATATTAATGCCGTAGTTTTTCAGGGGCCTGTTGTTTCTGAGACACTTTTCCTGCTACACGTCAATGACCTACTTCCACAAGGTATTATTGGTATGCAGGTGAAAGCACAGTCACAGAGGGATTCATATACAGTGCAAAAGACGTAAGGGTAAAATGGAGTTCGTTTGATCTAACTCCTACTTTCCGGGGTACAAATGTAGAGGTGAGTGCTAAACTCAACTTTGGGTTAAACATTGAGTCAAAAGCATAAACTGCCGCCAAAACACTGAGAATTTCTAACAAGGTGAAGTAATATTTCACAAATGGGCAGCTTCTAACTTTAAACAAAGCTCAATTCTGAACTTGCATGGAGTATTGTAATCACTTTTGAGGTGGCTCAGCAAATTATCAACTTACCGCACTCGACTCAGTTCAACACTGAGTCAAGAGGCTTATCGGCGATAAAAAGCTGGTGGAAACTAAGCATCATAGTTTAGCTCACCGCCGCCAAGTAGTTTGTTTGTCGGTCTTCTACAGATTGTATTTCGAAGAGTGTGCCTATGAGCTCCATAAGCTCATACCGCCATCTCCATTCTTCTATCGGAATTCCAGACGTACTGCAGATTACCATCCACCCTTAGTTGATATTCCAAGTATTCACACTAAGCGCTATAAGTAACTTTTTATAATGAACACAGCTAAGGAGTAGAATGCCCTGCCGGTGTCTGTTTTTCCGAGTGCATATAACTTTAACCTCTTCAATGTGCGTGTTAACAGTTCTCCTGGGCAAACCCGCTCCATCGTAAACCTCATATTTGCCCTCGGACTAGATGGAGGTTAAAAGTGAGCATAGTTTTAATAAAAAAAAAGATGACGGCCCTGTGGCGCAGTGGCTTTGCAATGAGTTGCTACGCTGGGGGCCGCTGGTTCGAATCCCGCAAGGAACAAGTATTT